ACCTTTTCAAATTATGAAACTCCCACTCTCWCTCTAAACTCAAGAGACACTCTAGATCATCTTCTTCATCCTTCATATTCAGCCAATTTCTCCATATTTCTCCATCAAAATAGCAAGGATTTTGAAGATATCACATCCTTCTCATCAGCAATCAAGGTAACAACTTCATCTCCACATTTTTCTTGCAAACTTTGGGGGAAAAACCCACTTTTCATGCATTTTAAGTGCTGACAGATTGTATGCATGTGCATAAATTATCCATTTCTTGCAAATAATATGTTCAAATGTCATGAATCTTCTTCTAAAAGTTCATTTATTGAGTTGGGGTTGTAATCCAATTGATCTCACTAAAAAACATTGAGTTTTGACTCCCCAAATACTCAAAACAAGATGCATGTGCATCTAGGAGTTTTTTTAGTAGGTAAACCCTATTTTAAACACCCTTAACTCTCTAAATAATCATCCAAAATCATTAATTTTTCTTCTGGAAGTTAATTTAAGGAGTTACCTTTCAAATGCCACTGATTTCATTCAAAAATATGGAGATTTGAGGTTTCAACTACTCAAAACAAAATGAATATGCAATCTATCCGAAATTGACAGATTTGTATATGCAGTTCTAATGACTATATCTCTTTCAAAACTTGATGAAAAAGGATGATTATTCCTTTGAGAGTTAACTATATGAGTTATCTTCTGCATGCAAGTGGAATCACATGAAAATATGGAGTTTTGACCTCCAAACACATAAACACTTTAGGTGCGAACTATGAAACCATCAGTAGGTAACTCCTACTTTGTGTGTTATTATCTCTTTTATTACTTGGTTTTAGTACATGATTCTTCTTCTGAAATATTCTTTTATGAGTTAGGGTTCATATGAACCCAGTTTCACTCAAAAATATGAAGTTTTGATGCATTAACCAATTTATTAAAGTTAAGTGTGCAATCTGTTAACTAATGACAGATGTGTGCATGTAACTTTATGGTGCCATATATTCCTCTTAACTCATCCAAAATGAGTGATTCTTATCTTAAAAGTTTCATTTAGGTGTTGAGTTTATAAACCAATTGGAATTTCTGCAAAACAGTTAGTAGAACTCTTCAAATGAGTATTTTACTACCATGGTGTAATCTGCCATACCAATCGTGACATATTGTATTGCATAAATTATTTGAACCATTTTTACATGTCCAAAATGCATGAAATTTGGTCAAAATGACCATAGCTCAGTGCTATAACCCATATAAAAATATAGGAAACTATGTCATTTTAGAAGTCTCTATAAATTGATCATTTTAGTACTATTAGTTTCTGTCCAAAAGTGAGATTCTGGAATTATTTGATTTTATAAATTTTGATCATTTATTGGATATAACATTACTTCCGGTATAAATTATTATATTAACGAGCATATGTGCATTATGTATAATTGGACWATAGATAATCAAGTTGGACTTATGTAGACGATTATAGACTTAGAACTTATTAATCCCCATAAGTAGTTTTAAACCCATAAGTGACGGTTTTGGATATTCCTCTTTGATAGGGAAACGTTAAACCAACGTGTGGGGACCGGATCGTGTTTTTGATTAGCGGAGCTTTGCAAAAGAGTGAGTATTCACAGCCCCTCTTTCAAAGTATTTATTACGTTTTGGGGTGAAAAGCATGATTGAATGTGTTATATGAGCTATTTTCATTATGAATATGAAATTTTGTTAATTTGATGTTGTGGGCACTAAGGCATGTACACTAAAAGTTATATTGAGTAAAATGTAACAGAAAAGTTTGCACACTACTATTAACTCAAGTGAGGAGCCGAGGGTATTTGTGGATAACGCTATTTGGACGG